ATGCTCTTGCTTGCCCTTTTATGTTGTGTGCCTTTGACCTTTGACCCCTGCTGACTGCCTGGATAAGTCTCTGCAGTATTTTTGGCAGGTTTTCAGAAGTGGCTTGCCACTGACTCCTCATAACTGCTGAGAGGGCCTGGCTCCCAAGGTCACCGAGATGACTTCATGCCTAAGGCAGGACTAGACTCACAGTTAATTTTAAAATTGGAGTTGAGTATGGAGGATCAGACATGATTGAACAAAGAGGGAAAAAAGAGACATAAGTTCTGCCTTGTTGAGCCAGTTTGTTCTCTAGAGACCTGGTGGTACAGTGGTTAAATTGTAGTATTGCAGGCAAACTGCCCATAGCTTGGAATTTGATCCTGTTGGCTCAAGGTTGACTCAGTCTTCCATTCTTCTGAGGTCGGTAAAATGAGACCCAGATTGTTGGGGGCAATATGCAAATAATGCTTCTACACTGTAAACCACCCAAAGAGTGCTGAGAATGCTGAGCCAAAAATCTGTTAGGGCGCTGGTAAAATATGCAGTAATAGAAAAGGGTATGAATATACATTACATTAGATTAGGTTCTGGCACAGTAAATAATGGTGGCTTTGCTTCTAGCTAGAATTTGCTTAACCTGAATGTCCAGTATAAAACTGATCTAGGGGTTTTCTTCTGTAATACAATAACTGTTCTTCTGGATTGAAAAAGATTGAACTATCGTCTTAGGGAAAGAAAACAGAATTTTCTCACCCACTTTCATCTTAGCTGCTGCTTTATACATGGACTTATTCTAATATTTGTGACTATTCAATGGTTTGCGGAGAGAAGGATTAAATAAGCAGGAAGATCATTTGAAGGAAAGCAGGCAACTCTATTAAAAAAAATAGAAGAGGGAATGCAGTATCTGGAAGTACGGCAAATGCTCCAGTATATAAAAATCTTACTTCTAGGAATCTAAAGATAACATGCACTTTATGTTCAAGTTCCCAATGGATTATTTTTCTGACAAGCCCATCTCCTTATCCTGTCTTCTATCTGTATAATATTTTGGTTCTTCTTGGCACTGGCTTTTTATGTGATGGCTAGTTATAAAAGAATAAATCTACAGATTTGTATTGGTTTCATGAACATTGCAATCAAACACATTAATAATTTCCTAGAATGAGAATTTGCAAAGCTGGGAAGAAAAAATCTACACATTGGTATTGGAATTTATTCAATGACTGGATTGTTTCCGGAGCAAAAAGTTGTTAAAAAGATTTTGCATTTGTTTTCAGATAGACCATGCCAGTTCAAGAAGGCTCTATTAAATATTTGTCCTAAACCTTGTTTCCCTTGGATTATTAAATACTGTCCAAACCTCATTTCCTTTTGGAATAAAGTTTATTAAATATTATCTTAAACAAATCTATCAAATATTATCCTAAGCTCTGTTCAATCCCCTCTCCACCTTTCACTCTTTGCCCAAGTTTGTGGGCAAAGGAACACTATCGAGGCTAGCAAATCACCTTGAAGAGATTAGAATCTCAAATTCCATGCAGTCTGGCAGAAGAGAGAGACAAGGAATGTACAAAAACTAAGCCATTTGTAGAGTAAATGGGAAGATAGAACACATGAACCCCCCCATCCTCCCCCAAAATTGCAAAATTATCTTTTCAGCCTGGAACTCTTTTTAAGCAGAAGGTAAATGGCCATTTGGAAGGAAGACTGTAATAGGAATTGGACTCATAGGGCTCTGGTCTATGAAAAGAGAGATTTTTGGCAAGTATTTTTTTTCCTTCTCCATTTCTGCACCAACCAAAACTACCTCCTCTGAACAATTTCAAAAGTTAGTGTCCTTTTTTAAACATTTTATTACATATTTATTATTAAATATTTTCAGAGTGTTCAAAAAAACAACAACCAAGTGTTGGATACTTATTGCTTCTTCATTCCAGAAAATGTCCCAGTTTTGATTCCTGGTTAAACTTGCATTTTTTAAACGTCTCCCTCCCAAAACACATAAACTTTATATGACAACTAAACTCTATTTATCATTTGATAAGTGTAATGTCTCAATAAAAAAGATAGGGTAGAAGGGATCTGGCTAAATTCATAGCCCTCTGGGGCTTTGCCAGTGGAATAAAAAAACACATGAGGTTTTGCCTGTTTGTTTAAAGCTCTCTGGACCTTGCATGTCAGTGTCAATTTCCCTCCAGATACTAAAGGGACAATTAGCTTATTCTAGAAGACAGACACCAGGTAAGAACTGTTCCTTCTCTACTATACTTTTTCTCTTCAGATCAGCTTATCCTAGTTAAAAAAAAAAACTCTAGAAGGAAAGACGAACATTCCTGTTTGATGGAAATAGCAAGCAAGTGGAAAAAACCACTAAAATTTATCTCTTACTTACACAAACATGCACACTGCTAGATGAATTGAAAGCTTCCCAAGATCCTGGTGTCTCTGTTTTCATCTGATGTGATTCAATTTAGATTGTAAAGACAGCATTGGAGAAAGGATTATAACTCTTTTTATTCCATTCAAAATCTGAGCCCTCTGTAGCTGTTCTATATAACTAAAAAGCAGACATAGCGGGTCTCAATTTTCCAGCGTTATGATTTACTTAACTCCATTTCATTTTTTTTCTTGAAGCTAGTGCATAATTGCTTACTATGTTATATGGCAACAAGTCTAATTTACATGTATTAATGGCAGCCTGAAAAAAAAGTATCGCAAAGTTTGACAAGTTGATATAACAATAATGCATGAATAGCAAAGCCTGATATTTAAGTTTAATCAAAAGTAGTGTATGTAAGATATGAGCTGTAGAATCCTTTCTTGCAGACTATTGAATATTTCTGTATGCTCTTACTCTTTCTCCCCCATCTACCTGATTTTGGTCAATAAATATTTAACATTTCTGAGATAATATCTATTCTTCAATTCCAAACTTGAATAGCAATAGATATTTGATGAATTCATCCATACTAAGTATTATAAATTGCCATGGATAATGGAAATGGTATATCAGGATGTCCTGTAAGTCTAGTTCCAAAAAGAAAGCTAGGAGAACAGTTGCATCTGAAGAATCCTATTCATTCCATGTGTGCATACATGTAAAGTGGATAGAAGAGGTATCCTTGCCTCACATTCTTGAGTGTCAATGGCAGTGAGAGTCTACATGTGCAAAAAATTGCAGAGTTCTTCCACTGTGCATAGGATCCATGCCTTACTATGAGTATGAAAATGACAAGGACAGTGGGCATAATATCCTTCCCCTTTAATGCATTCATTCCATTTATTTCTCTCTCACTGTTGCAATGGAATTGAAACTAGTTTTTCTAATCTAGTAAAGCTAGCTGCAATATACCTCCATTGCTTCATGGCTGGGTTCAGCACCATATTTTAACCTCTATTTGTTGCATGATCCGCAGTGTATCTGTTAGCATAAAACACAAAAGTAAACAAACTACATTATGTGTTAGAGTAATATATGCCCAATTGGATTATGAATTCTAGAAGAGTGAAAACGTTTGAGCTATTAGTGCCTTGGGCAGGAAAAGGGGGGCAGGAAAGAGTTAGAAGAATTGGAAAAACATTACATAAAAGGGCTAAAAGAATAAAAAAGACAGATAAATGAGCGCACAACAGTAACATGGGAAGAAAGATTTTAAAAAATGTGGTTGGAGACCTGTGATGATTGTAGAAGTTTGTAGAAGCAGTTCAAGCTTTCTATTATTGCAGAATGAAGAGAAAGTGGATATCCGGATGAATCTGGTTCATCCCAGTTTGAGATGAATCTGTCAGTTTCTTTCCAATCTGTTCACATGATGCTTATTGAGTCCACGTTATGATTTGGATGTCATTTAGTCTTTGGAATGGCATTTCAAATCACATGGTGGGTTGGTGTCAAGGCTATTTAAGATTTTTCCCTGAATACTTTGGAATGCCACCTAAAATTCTTCTTGTGGAAATCTAACTGAAGTTCTTAAAGTTCCGTTCAACTCTTTCAGACTCTGAGAGTTGCATCCAATGATCTGGAATGTCCTCTTGCATTAGCAACCTGGGTTCATAAGTGGCACTTTCCTCAAAGTAGCCTTTACAAAATCTACTCATAGATATCAGAAATACCTGCATCAGACTAGCCACCGGTCTTTCATTCTTTATATTGCTGCCTTTCATCATGGCCATGCCCACTTATCCATTCAGCCAATAGAAGAAAGGATGAGAAGAAAAGGGGGGATAAGAAAATAAGAAGAGATGACTACTCACAGATGGAAATAAATAAATCAGGAAAAATATCTCTTTTAATAGAAGAGAACTAGAAGTACGGTGTGTGTGTGTGTGTGTGTGTGAAGTGATTGGATTTTCTTCCTCCTATTTGCAAAGTTTTCTCTTTATACAAAACCTCAAAGCTTCTCAGACTCAGTGCCACTTTTCCACTTTTTGGTTCTTTCTCCCTGATTCTCCATATATAGCAAATAATTTTTAAAGTCTCATTTTTCTGATTTTTCATTTATCTTAAGTCAAAATAAAGTTTTCATATCCTGCAGGTTCCTTGACAGGCAATGTGTCTATGTTTTCTAAACCTCTTTGTAGTTAGGTAAATATGTCCAGAGTATGAGGTTCAAGCCATATTAGTTATCTGCAAGATTTGTTAAAGGATGGGAGGAACAGAAGAGGAAGAAATTGAAATTATCTGGGCAAAGGATCTGAGCTTTTATGAAGCAAAGGTTCATGCTTAAAGCATAGATTCAGTGACTGTTTTTAATCATGGTGTTTCTGGCAAAAGCAGGCATCTTGGCTTATTGAGCGCTTTGTAAGTGTTAAGAAAAAATATTAATAGAATTTGTTAAAAGCAAACTCCTAAGATAATTTTTATAACTTCTACCCAATATTAATATAACAAATTGGCCAAGCTACTATCTTGAGTTAATAACATTCATTGGAGGCCTTTAGATTTGAAGGAAGGATTTGAATTGGGATCCCCTGCTTTAGAAGAATTCTCCTGATCATTTTTTATTGTAGGGACCATGTCAAAGAGAATAGCAGTTATTGGTTCTGGAGTAAGTGGGCTGACATCCATCAAAGCTTGCCTGGAGGAAGGCCTTGAACCCACCTGTTTTGAGCAAAGCAGTGACATTGGTGGCCTATGGCGATTCACAGTAAGTAGATAGAAAATTTTTAATTGCTTTCTTATAGAAACAAGTATAATATGCAGACAAAGTTTGAAAAACTGGAGTAATGAAATCCTCTTAGGAATTTTCCTCTTCAAAAGAGAAAGAATCATATACAGATTATTGTTCTAAATCTGACAGCAATCCTAAGAAAAATGTTGTAGTTGTGTACAACCTTTTATGAACTGAATGTAAAGGTTAATCTAGGAATATGTATCTCTTAGAGGGTCTTCCCCAGGGCATAGGCAAACAGGATGGGTCAAAAAAGTTAAGATGCCACAACTGCATGCTTGAACTCTCACCCTGTTTATGTAGATTGGATGTATGATGCATGTAAAAAAAGTCTAAAGCCCTCTCCTGTCAACATAACATTCATCAACAATTGGTCCTAAGAGCCAGCCAGGCATGATGTTAGCTGTGTATTAAAAAATTAACATTTTTATATAGAGAGAGAGAGCCTGCAACTGAATGTTGTGTCTAATTCTAGTTGGTTTTGGGCTGAGCCTTTAGTAGAGTTGAACTAAAGATACTTTGTGCATTGCATGAAAAATATAAATGAACTTTCCAGCCCCCTCCCCCCCATGAACTGCATATTACTAGTAGTTCCATTTCATTACAGTATAATTGATCGATTATGCACCATTAAGTCATTATTTACCCTTAGCCAACCATGCAGATACATCTGCTCTATCCCTAACCTGATCTTTCAGGTCTTCCTCATCACACAGTAATACTTGCTCAAAAATTTCCAATAAATACTCCTTCATTAGGCAAATCTGCCTGGAGACCTACTAGCATAAAATAAGATCACTTTTTATTTTCAATATTACAAAGATTTGATGCATCTTTCTCAACACTGCAACTCAGCTAATGTCCTAGTGTTTAATCAATACCACCTATTATTACTGACCGTTACTAATGAAATATTTTAGCCTCTCATCCAGAATTGAATATATGACTGCATTCTATGAGTTACTTATTGTCAAGTCTGCTTTTTAAAAGAAACATTTTCTCAGATCACTAAGAGTACTATAAGTTGTTTTTAAAACAAGGCACTTACTTCTTATCGTTAAATGGCTTTCCATTTGAAGGAAAGAGATACTCTTTTACTATAGGTAGTCTGTGTTTTCCATACATCAAGTTCTTAATTTCTGAAATATTTTTTGCATAGTTAAATTAAACAAAGCTCAGATTCTTGCAATTTTGGTAGTATAGACCTGGATAGATTTGGTTCTAAGTTCATTTTTTTATAGGAAGAATGCAGATAAATAAATGTGGTCAATATCTGTTAGAATGAAGAATGAAGCTTGGCTCTTGTTCATTGTCGAGAATTAATGTTAGAGATACTAAAGAACCAGTATTAAGGTCATACATGGTGGCTTTCTTTGTAGAGAACATTGGAAAAAAGGTTCTTTTTATATTCTTTAGGAAACTGTAGAGGAAAGAAGAGCAAGTATCTACAGGTCACTCACCAGTAATTCCTCCAAAGAGATGAGCTGCTTCAGTGACTTTCCAATGCCGGATAACTTTCCAAACTTTCTGCACAATGCAAAGTTCCTGGAATATTTGAGACTGTATGCAAAACATTTTGATGTGCTCAAATATATCAGATTCAAGGTGAGTATGATTGAATTCCCAAGTGGCCATATGGATGCTTCATACGAGTACTGTTTAAATCAGTGATTTTCAAACTTGGCAACTTTAAGATGTGTGGATTTCAACTACCAGAATTTTCCAGCCAGCATTTGAAAAACACTGATTTAAATAAAAGAAAATGGAAAGCATCTCTGTAGTAGCAGTAAGCATATTGTATATCTCAGAGGACTACATGACATGTACATTATATATTGATATCAATTTACCAGTTTAAATAAACCAAGGCAGCTCTAAGTAGAATGAAGTACAGTAGTTTATTAACCAGGTAAAACATATAACTGAGAAAATAACCATTTTTTATACAGAGGAGCAGTTAATGAAATAATCAGAACTGTAAAAGGCATCCCTTTGATGGTGTATTTGTTTTCCATCAAGCCCAGACACAGCACTTGAACTCTGAAAAAGAGTGCAACCCTGTCCTGCTTTGGTTGCAAATCTCCTTCTTGACTGGCAAACTTCCCAATCTAGAGTAATTCCACTTCATCTAGTTTATCTATCTAATTAATCTAGTGGTGAAGGCACCAAACTAGAATCCAGGAGACTTTGAGTCCCACTTTAGGCTTAAAAGTTAGCCAGGTGACTTCAGGCCAGCCGCTCACTCTCAAACCAACTTACCTCCCAATTGTTGTTGTTGGGAAAATAGGAGGAGAAGAGAATATTAGGTATGTTCACCAACTTGAGTTATTTATAAAAACAATAAAAACAGGACAAAATACATTTTTATGCCACTACAATTGCAAGTCGCAATGGTCATTAAGTGAAATGTCAAGGCTAATGGCCTCCCATCCCTGCTCTCCCCAATGAATCATTAAACAAATGTACAGGTTGTTAAGTGGATAACTGGGTGCCTCGAGGTGGGAGAGATCCTTAGAAGCCTAGCACAGACTCAGGCCCACCTGCTCTAGGCCTCTCCCACCCTCAAGGGACTTGATGCTCTCAGTCCCTTGGGATTCCCCCAGGCCGAGTCCTGCTGTCAATCTGGTGTTTCAGTGATGTAAGGGAGCCTAAAGAAGTTACTAGAGCAGGGAGGAAAGTTATAGCTTGTAGGCCTCAGCCAACTGCCCATTCAGCCACCCGAGGGACCACTCACCTCAAGGGCCAAGCAGCACCCAACTTACCTTTCTTTTTTACAGAGGAGCCTGGGCCAAGCAAGGCGAGGCGAGGCTTTCTTGCAGAGACCGCCAAACTCAAGACAACTCTGTGCTAATCTTCTAACAAGTGGTACTTCTCAAGAGACTGTGGGAAGCTCTGTTTTTTTTAGGGAGGCTCCCTTTGTGGAGATTCTGTTATTTTTAAAGAGGTCCTGTGAGTTTGCTCCCTAGTGTCTCAATAATTTTTTCACAGTGCCCCTTGTTCTCAAAATGTGCACTGCTGCAACACTCAAAAGTCTCTGCTTCCTCCAGTCCACCGGAAGAATGATTGGTGTATTTATTCCTCATTGGCAGGTGACACTCGGTGGGAGATAAAACTGGCTGCAAGGGGAATTCACCTTAATTTGTTCCACATAAAAGGGGCGTTGTCTTACCTGAATGCCTTTTCTCAGCACGGAGATGGAGGATCCACCCATTGGTTATGACTGTATTCCTGCCCAATCAGATCAAGCCAGCCAAAGTTGTCACACCCGTCCTGGACCGTAGAGATCCCAGATTTTGCCGCCAGCATAGCCATTGACTGACACAAGACGTAGTGGCTCATAAACTAAACTAACCCAGGTTTTAAAGACCCAAGGAAAAAAGAGAGAGAGGGAGGGAGTGGATCCTCCATCTCCGTGCTGAGAAAAGGCGTTCAGGTAAGACAACGCCCCTTCTCCAGCACTGGAGATGGAGGGTCCACTCATGGGACATACCAAAGCCTACTGTCCCTGAGGGTGGGTAGTAGACTGGTCCAGCGTGGCACTTTGGCATAAGACCTGTTGGAGAACTCTCCTGCCAAAGGAGGCCTCTGCTGAGGCAAAGCTATCTATCTTATAGTGTTTAATGAAAGGGGATGGTGAAGCCCATGTGGCCGCCCTGCAGATCTCCTCAACGGAGGCCTGGGTGGCCCATGCTGCAGAGGTGGCTGCGCTGCGAGTGGAATGAGCTGTAATTCGCCATGGAATTGGCAATGACTCGGCCTGGTAAGATTCGGCTATGCATGCCCGTATCCACCTGCCTATTGTGGAAGAAGAGACCTTCCTACCTCTGTTGGAGGAGTAAAAGGAAACGAATAGGGCTTCAGATGAACGGAACTCGGCGGTTCGTGATATATAGTACCGAAGTGCCCTGCGAACATCTAGAGTTTGCCATTGATGTTCTAAGGCGTGTGATGGGTGAGGGCAAAAGTCCAGTAGAACTATCTCTTGTGCCCTATGGAAGAGAGAGTTGACCTTCGGGACGAAGGTGGGATCAAGAAGGAGGATTATCCTATCCCTGAGGAAGACGCACAGGTCATCCCGGATCGATAGAGCAGCCAGTTCGGAGATGCGTCGTGCAGATGTGATAGCCACTAAGAAGGCCACCTTGTGAGACATGTAGCGGATGTCACACGTACTTAAGGGTTCAAAGGATGTTTTCGTGAGCGCCTTCAGGACCTTTGGTAATTCCCATGAAGGGTATCTGTGCACAGAAGGGGGTCCGGTGTTGGTGGCCCCTTTTAGGAAGGAATGTATTAATGGGTGATGGACCAAGGGCTCCTTTGAGTCACAAGTGAGTACTGTGGACAGAGCAGCGACTTGTCTGCGCAATGTGCTTGGGGCCAACCCTTTCTCTAGTCCCCTTAATAGGTAATCCAGGATGTGTGGTACTGTGAGTTCTGGGAGGGACAACTGTTGCTCAGAGCACCATAAGCGGAAGCTCTTCCATGAAGCCTCGTATATGCGGTTCGTGGATGGGCGACGAGAGGCCTGGATTATTGAGATGACCCCTGGGGAGCAAAGTCCCCTTGATAAGATCGAGCGCTCAAGCGCCAGACGGATAACTGGAGCCACTGAGGGTCCGGGTGAAGGATAACACCCTGGCTGAGGGAGACCCTTTCTGGGAGAACTCGCCAAGGATCTGTGACAGAGAGACTCATCAAGTCGGCGAACCAAGGTCTCCGCGGCCAGTATGGGGCCACCAGGAGAATCTCCGCTCGTTCCCGAAGGAGCTTGCGTATCACCGCTGGAAGAAGGGGTAGGGGGGGAAAGGCATACAATAGACCCTGTGGCCATGGGTTCCGGAGGGCATCCGTTTTCTCCACCCCCCTTGAAGGGAACCTGGACATGAATCGGGGCACTTGAGCGTTGGATGGGGACGCAAAGAGGTCCACAAGCAGGAGGCCGAAGCGGTGGCAAATTTCCCTGAAGATCCTCGGATGGAGGCGCCATTCCGAGTGATCCACCGTTGACCTGCTGAGGAGGTCGGCTTGGGTATTTGCTTTCCCTGAGATATGATCGGCTTTGATTGATGCTACATGGTGCTCTGCCCATGATCCTAATAGTAGAGACTCCCTCAGGAGAATCTGAGAGTGTGTGCCTCCCTGTCTGTTCATGTGTGCCTTGGCTGCAACATTGTCGGTGAGGACTAATACGTGCCGACGCTTCACCTGGTTTTGGAAATGGCGGAGTGCCAGGTGAATTGCCCTTAGTTCGAGCCAATTGATGTTGTGACGGAGGTCCCTGGTGGACCAACGTCCCTGGGTCCACTGCGATTGTAGGTGTGCTCCCCAGCCAAACATGCTGGCGTTGGTTGTGATTATCAACCGGTCTGGTTCCTTGAAGTATGACCCTCTGGTCATGGCTGGTGATAGCCACCACTTGAGGGACTGTGATACCTGTTGCGGTAGCTTGACTTTCCTCTTGGATGCGCTGAGGTTCTGCCTCTGGAAAGGAAGCATGAACCATTGCAGCCTCCTGGAATGGAGTCTGGACCATGGAACTATTGCTATGGCCGAGATCATCTTCCCTAATAATTGAGACAGGCTGGCTAACGATACTGCCCGACTTCTGCGTGTTTGGAGGGCTAACTCCCGTATGCTGTCCCGACGCTCCTGTGATAGGTATACCCGGCACTCTACGGTGTCTATGATGGCCCCGAGGTGTAGCAGCCTGTCGTGGGGTTCAGGTGGCTCTTCGGAAAGTTTACCGAGAACCCGTGGGCCTGGAGTAGCTTTAGCACCAGATCGATGTCCGACACGGCCGACCGTGTGGACGATGACTGGATTAGGATGTCGTCCAGATAGCATTGGACTCTGACAGGCACCATTCTTAGATGAGCTGCTAGAACCGCCAGGATCTTGGTAAATACCCTTGGTGCCGATGATAGACCAAATGGGAGCGCTCTGTATTGGAAGTGGCGCCCCTTGTATACGAACCGTAGGAACCGGCGGTGGGCCAGAGAGATAGGAATGTGGAGATATGCCTCTGTGAGGTCAATGGACGTTAGGAAGTCCCCTCTCCTTACGCTTCCCAAGATGGATCGTAACGTTTGCATTTTGAATTTGCGATATGCAAGATGAAGGTTTAGGCTCTTGAGGTCTAGAATTGCCCTCCATCCCCCTGAAGCTTTGGGGACTACGAAGAGCATGGAGTAGAATCCCTGACCTCTCTGGTCCAGTGGTACCGGTTCTATGGCTCTTATGTGTAATAGGTGTTGAACAGCTTTGTTCATTAGTCTTTTCCTTATTCGGTTCCGGGGGTATGGACAAGAGAGGAACCGATTTGGAGGGTTGGATATAAAGTCCAGGAAAAGACCATGACGAATGGTGTTGAGCACCCAGATGTCCGTGGTTGTGACCTCCCATTGGTGGGCAAATAGGGAGAGTCTGCCCCCAATGGGAGGTGTCGATAAGCTGTCACTTGGAGCAGCGGAATGGCCTGCTGTTCCCCCGAAAGGGCCGTTTGCCTTGGAACTGCTGCCTGAATCTAGGAGTCTGCCTATCAGGCTGTCTGTCCTGTCTATCCTGTCTGGCTGGAGATGGTTGAAAGGATTGTGTATAGTTGTATCTGGTTGTATGAAAGGCTTGTCGCCGGGAGTAATAGGTGGGACGTTTGTCCGGCCTTTTGAGGACATGTTTGCGTATCTTATGTTTGTCCTTGTTCTCTGTGAGGTAGGGGTTCAGGGCATCGCAAACAATCTACCTCCCTGATATGGAGCTGCTGCCAGCTTCCACTTGGTTTTAGCGTTGGCTTGCCAGTTTTTCAACCACAACATATGGCAGCCTGTAATGTTGGACGCCATAGCCCTGGATGAGAACCTGGCAGCCTGGAGAGTTGTGTCCGAGGCATACTCGGTGGCTGCCACCATTTTGCTAAGGTCCTGGTGCGTGCGGGTATCCTCTATTGGGATCCGGGCTTGAAGCTGTCGCAGCCAGCAAAGGGCGGACCTATTAAAGAATGAGGCGGAGGTTGCGGCCCTGATCGCCCAAGCAGATGATTGGTGTGTTCTGCGAAAGGTGTATTCGCATTTACGATCTTCATTCTTAAGGGCCTCCGAAGGATCCCCCAAGATAGCCATGGGCGATACTAGGGGCCCCAATGGTTCATCTATGGACGGTACCTCCAAGGTCTCTTCCAACTCCCTGGCAACACTGTACAATTTTTTGTCAGTGTTACTCGGGAGAAGGAGGGAGGCCGGAGATGCCCACTGTCTGCGAATTGTCCTCAAGAACAGCGAGGGACAGGGGATGTGGTGTTGAGTTGCTACAGTTTCAACAAAATATGGATCTGCCTCCACGTCCAGGTCAGCTGGGACGTTGGAAGAGGAGGATTGAGACCCGAGGTGAGCTGTGGATGTGGCCTTGCGAAGTAAGGTGACAAAGAAGGATGGATTGAAGAGCCCGCTAAAGGAGGGTGCCTCTGGGGGAAGTTCCTCCTCCTCGGACATTGGAACTTCGTGTTCGGTCTTGACCTGAGTAAGGTAGGAAGTCTCAGAGACTGATGACCCACCTGGGGAGGGAGGGTTGTCGTAGCCCTCGGACAGGTGTGGTGTGTGGCAAGAAACTGCGTTTACTGGCTTGGGAGTCAGGTTCCTGGCATCAAGGGCTCTATCAACTGCCTGAGAAATTAAGAGGGCAAGGCGGTCCTCATTTGGAAGGTACCCCGTCTCGCTTGGCCGCAAGCCTGCAGCCGTAGGAGTAAAGGTGGCTTCAGGAGTTCCTTGAGGAACGCTTGTAGAAATGGATTGAGGGATGGATAGACACTCGCTTGGTCCGTACTGTGCGGTGGAATGTGAGGATTCCCCCGCTGACCAGATACCCAAGGGAGATGAGGGGGCTCCTAGGGGCAATTCCAGGTCTAACTCCTGGGACTGAGCTGTTTCCAGCCTGGCCCTTTTCTGCGCCTTGGAAAACTCCCTTTCCAAGGCCTGGTGTCTCCGCTCAGTCTGTTTGTCTGCTCTTTTTGAGCTTTTGGTGGTAGATCTTACCTTGGTTCTGGTCATCGTTTTCTCCGCGCCCTCCAGACTAGGTAGTCCTGATGAGGATGGCAGAGCGCTCTTAGCTGCAGGGCCCGAATCGCCCATACTCCGATGGCACAGGAACACGAGAGGGAGCTCCTGGTATCTGGAGAAAATGCACTCTGGGTAGGAATAGGCGTGCTAAGGGTGCGTCCGTAACCCAGGTGAGGCTGTTGCGTGGATGAGGACAGGCATGCTAATAGGTACGTCTGCAATCCACTATATTTTGGCACGGATAAGGACAGACACTCAACAGGGGGCGTCTGGAATCCGGCTGGTTTTGTTCTGGACGATGGCAGGCGCACTACAGGGGCGTCTGGTATCCAGATGAGCGCTGATCACCAGTTGGCACTCCTTGTCTTCATCCAATTTGGATAGGTTTGATTAGAAAATTCCTTGAGAGATACCAGTTCTAGGTAAAGGGAGTCTCAGTGTTCCAGTTAATTATTAGTATAATTACTCAATCATCAATTAATTATTAATTAACTTAACTAATCTGCCTAATTAATTTAGTTAATTTAGTTTAATTATCAATTGATTATTAATTCAATTAATTAAGTAATCACCCCCTTGATCGGGTGATTGAGATTCTAATCACTATTTAATTAATTAAAATTAATCATTTAATTATTATACCATATCACTTAATTAATTAAAAATAATCATTTAATTATTATTCAATTGATGGTAATCAGTTTCCGAACTGGTAATCCGTTCCAAACTGATTACCTACTTAATTTAAAATTAATCAATTTCCAAATTAATAAATGAATTGTTCCAGATAATTTAAACAATTGATTACAAGTAATCAGAGTTGATTAGGTAAAGGTCCGATCCAGGGACCACGTTGTCCAAGATGGCGATCGTGCTAACAAAGACAAGAGGTGACTCCGAAGGAGAAAGCAAGGAAGCAACCACAAGTACGGACCTTAAATTTCCCGCCGCAGAGCTTGATTTGCCGGTCAGCTGCTGAGCAGCTGATCGGCACTGAGCGGGGGAAGCGCGCGCGCTCAGATCGGCGATTCCCCGACCGAGGAATAAAGATTTCAAAGATACTGGAGGAGACTCCGGTTAGTTTTGGAAACCCTGGGGTTTTGAATTCTTTTGGGTACAAAGGAAATCATCCCTTCACTCTGGCTCCCCTCGGAGCTGTCTCCGCAGGCTCCGGTTGAGAGAAGATTGCCCTTTAAATTTTAAAGTTCGGAGGACTAACACCGTTAGTCCTCAGAAGCAGCCTGCACAAAGGAACTTTCTTTGTCTTGCCAGTCTGAAGTTAATGCTTTAGAGGGGAGAGGAAGAAGGAGCCCCTTCAAGAATATCCCCCCCCTTTCAATTAAATTTCTCCTGTAGGATTAAATTAAATTAAATTAAATTGAATTGAATTAAATTGAATTAAATTAGGAGTAAAATCCCAGCTAGAAAGGTATAAAATGGAGGATCCCCCAATGGAAGACTAAGAGCCAAGTTTTCACGTCTGTCCTGGGCGAGATCAAGCCAAAATCTGGGATCTCTACGGTCCAGGACGGGCGTGACAACTTTGGCTGGCTTGATCTGATGGGGCAGGAATACAGTCATAACCCATGGGTGGATCCTCCATCTCCAGTGCTGGAGAATCTGTAAAGACAGTTCCAATCAATCAGCCTTGTCATTTCACCTGGCTGAAGAAATGCACATCAAACATGGCCATTATGTAAATCCCAGACTTGTTCTTTAACTTCATAGCATTCAAAGAAATAAAATGAGATAAGCCATTTTAGTAGCCAACAATTACTGTATATAATAACTGTGTCCCTTCTCGGTTTTTATATTAGTCTCCAGTTGTCCATGTAGAAAAATGCCAAGATTTCTCTACTACTGGTCAATGGAACGTGATTGTAGAGAAAGATGGAAAGCAGGAATCCTTCACCTTTGATGCTGTCATGATCTGTACAGGACATCAGATAGAAGCATATACTCCACTGAATTCTTTTCCTGGTATGGCTTGGCTTAACAGAACATTGAAACTGAATGTTTTTGCAAATGTTTAGGAAAAACACATTCTAGTTGGAGTCCAAGGATCCAGAGATTGGGGGTGAGATAAATTCAGCTCTGTTATAGGGACCAATGAAATAGCCATGGATCATGCTGAAATGTGGGGTGATGTTTAATTATATCTTGTAAATCAAAAGTCCCCAACCTTTTGGGCACCAGGGACCGATTCCGTGGAGAGAGATTTTTCTGCGGACCGGAGGGTGTGTAGTTTTGTGTGCTGCCTGCATCCCATGGATGAGGCTTTGCTTGGTTGTGCAGACCGGTTGCTGGCATGCCGCGGCCCAGTACCACAGCCCAGGGCTTGGGGACCCCTGTTGTAAATGATACATAACAAAGAACCCGATTCCTTGCTTGGCACATAGATGCCAATGGATGGAAATGGAAAGGAAAATGTTACAGACCTGAAAAATATAATCAGAAACAGTATTTTACTTAGCTTTTTATATTTGATTATAGTTTTATAGATTATAGTTTTTACATATAAGGAGAGATTGAAGGAAGTGAATAAGTACAGCTTGGAGCACAGAACGAAAAGGGAGAACATGACTGAAACCTTTAAATATATTAAGGGTGTGAATAAGGTTCTAGAAGGCAATGTTTTCAATATTAAGTAAAAATCAAGAACACGGAACATAACCTCAAACTGAAGGAGGAAGTTCAAAAGTAATGTTAGAAAGTATTGCTTCACAGAAAGAGTAGTGGAAGCTTGGAACCAAATTCCAGTGGATGTAGTGAGTCAATCATCAGTAACTGAATTTAAACAAGCCTGGGATAAACACATATCTGTCATCTGACAAAAATTAAATAACAACAACCCCCAGTGAGACACTACCTTGATGTGGTTGTGGAGCTTGTGTGCTCTGAGGAAGATGAGAGCTATGCTAGAGTCAATCATACTGGACAGGTCTCATCAGAGGAATCAGACAAGAGGAGAAGGGATGGCACACCTTTTCTCCTACCTCTTTCCCTATTCACAACTGCCTGCTGAAGCTTACCCATCTGCTGCAGAGGGGAACAAGGCATCAGCACTTTGTTTCAAGTTTGGTCTTTAACATGTCATTGGGATAGAAGACTATGAGTTTACATAATTATATTTGTAAATAGTTATATGAAATAATGTGTATATTTAACTTAATATTTTCTTGTATATTACGTTAATTTCTAGTCACATTTAAAAAAAATTCTAAATATTTCTAAATATTTTCACTTCATTTTTCCTCCCTCAAAAGATAAGACGATTGTGTGAATTATTTCCTTCTTTCTACAACTAAAGTAGTCACATGTAACCAAACTTGAATATGAAACCCAAATCCCACACACTGTTGATTCTAAAATCTGGTATATCAAAACCAATTTTTGCAGCCTAAAATTCTTGTACTATAGTTGTGCTTTGCTTCATGGCAGGTTTTGAAAAGTTCAAGGGGAATTCATTCCACAGCCAAAATTACAAGGATTCAGAAGAATTTGAAGGGAAGACTGTTGTGATCATTGGAATGGGAAATTCAGCTGCTGACATTGCTGTGGAGATCTGCAAGAAAGCAAAGAAGGTAAAGGGAGAGTAGGTTGTTTGGAGGAGGTTATAATATTTCAGATGTGGTCTTAAGATTTTGCAGTAGGCCTAGAGCATGAAAGTAGATGACTCAATTCAAAAAGGACATGCATGAACATACACAAACACACACACACACACGGGAACAGGAATAGGAAAAGTGAAAAGGATACAGAAAAATATAGGTTTAAATATAAAAATTGCATACCATACTCCTGGGTGGTTTTTTTTACAAGAACAAATGGTTAGAAGGCATCCTTGAAATAAGAGTAACATGCATCCATCAGTTTCTTACAAAAGAAAGATTTCCCTGGGCCTTCTCTGCATTTCTTGAATTGTAGAATCCATTTGCCAAAACATAAAACCCAATCTAGTTAGTGGAAAGCAAAACAAATTCATTCCTGGCTTCATCAAAACCACCTGGAGTGGATAAAAGAGGTTTCACTTTTCAACTGGGCAAACACTTTGACTCATGTAATAATCCTGAAATAAACTCTGCATTTGCCAGATTAAAATAATCTCACCTATTCTGTCCCAAATTACCAGGGAAGGGAGGATAATTCCCCTTCCATCTCTAATTTCAGTGTGCCAGAAGTAGAAAACAGATACACCACAGAAAAAAATAATGCAAACAAATGAGTTTTAAATGTCTCATGACAAACACCATAGAAAAGGCAAAAGTGATTTGTCAAATTCAAGCAAATGATATTCCAGCCCAATTCACAATGCTAATCTTGCTCCTGAATTTTCCCTGTATAGATTGCTGTTTGAATAATATGTACTGTACTGCTTGCATCACAAATCTCACATATTATGAAATTTGTTACAACAATGAAATATTATGACCTTTCTTAGAACCAGCTAAACTTTACAACTTTGTAAGTGTTTGAATTGCTAAGAAATCTATTTTAAGCTAATTTAATGAGAAATATATTTTCAAAGAGCTAAGGATGTTTAGGATCTTTGACCAGTCACTGATCTTATGGCCACAATAAGTGCTCTTCATTTCTGGGCAACAGAATAGCTTCAGAGTACTAACATTTCCTTTTCTCAGAACTTCAGAAATTCTTTGGATATTGAAATCTCATGGGGTGAAAAATGAATCTCTATCCTTCCCTCCCCAAATTTGCTAGGTTTTATGTACTTTGGCCTATTCCCTGACTTGGTATTGTGGTTCTATAGTATTTTTATTTTCATCACTTATTTGCATAGGAAATATCCACTAGGTGGGACATATCGAAATCCCACACCTTTACCAGCAAAGCATAGAATTACAAGATAATCAAGAGCTAAAATCTATAGCACCCCGTCCTATAAACTACAGCATGAGTTTGAGATTTATGTTGAAAAAAAGCTGTTCCTTTGAGAATCAAAACAATATTAACACCTCTAATTAGAAATTAAATGATTAAAAATAGCAGAAGACTATAGAAAAGTTCATATTTATAGTGGGAAATGATCCTGTGCGATCATCATGTACCTATGCCCAAATGTTGTAGTAGGTTAATGAAAAGAAAATTAGTTTCAGGAAAACGATCACATCAAAATAGAAATTTTCAATCCTTCTCTTGTGGTTCTGTAGGTGGTCCTCAGTGCCAGGGGAGGCACGTGGGTGATGAGTCGAGTATATGACAATGGCTATCCTTGGGACACCATCTATCACACTCGCTTTATTAATTTTATCCGAAATTCTATCCCATGGTTTGTTTTGAAATGGATGACAGAACACAAGATGAATCAATGGTTCAATCATGAAAACTATGGTTTGGTGCCTCAAAACAGGTATCTGAGGAGAAATGCACTTTTGTTGCCTTGCTGACTTCCAGAGATTTATTCAGCAGTAGCATATATCCTTGAAATCCCTTTCATTTCTTGGGTATCATTTTGCTGGGTGTTTTTGCAATTGCAATATGAGGACTCTTTAATGAATAGAGCATGTACAGACATATAGGAATTAAAACCAATAGCAAAAATCAATAATCCAACTGTCTGAAGTTGCAGAAAACATTCCAACTCCAACAGACAAGAATAATAAAAACCAATCAACGGCAGAGCTCACTCAACACTCCCTACCTCTCCCTGTCCCCACCCAAAATGCCTGGGGGAACAGCCAAGTCTTTATTGGCTTAACCTTAGAGCATGTAGGCGAAGCAAATGTGGTGTCCTTTCAATTACTTAATAGTCTTTCAATTGTCTTAATTGCAGGTGTACTGTATATACTAAAGTTAATAATAATAATAATAATAATAATAAATTATTATTATTATTATTATTATTATTATTATTATTATTTCAACCTTCCCTGGAACCTCCAGTAGTTCAGGTTGGGGGACGAGTCCGTCCTTGGGATGTGGTAAAGTCTGTTTACCGACAGGTCAGAGAAGAATTTTTGAAGGTCACAACCTCGTAAGTGGCGAAGACCTTCGTCCAACAAGGTAACCAATTAACAAGAAACTGTCAGGAAGTTTCTCCTTAGTTCTAAGTTGCTTCTCTCCTTGATCAGTTTCCATCCGTTGCTTCTCGTCCTGCCTTCAGGCGCCTTGGAGAATAGCTTGACTCCCTCTTCTTTGTGGCAGCCCCTGAGATATTGGAACACTGCTATCATGTCACCCCTCATCCTTCTCTTCGTTAAACTAGACATACCCAATTCCAGCAACCGTTCCTTATATGTTTTAGCCTCCAGTCCCCTAATCATCTTTGTTGCTCTTCTCTGTACTCTTTCTGTGGGAAATCAAGCCCCCAAGTGTCCAGTTTCCAATTTCAAGGTTTCTGTTTCTTTTTAAAAAAAAGAATATTAACAATATGTGCACTTGTTCAGGTATGTACAGATGTAGGTTTTAAAATGAATAGTGAGTTATTCATACCTATGCAGGGACAAGGCGAGAAATATCCTTTTTAAAAATGTTTATCTTTCCAACAATTCCTCTCCCCTCCATTTACAGGATTAAGTGGGAGAAAATGTTGCAAAACAAATTCTAGAGTTTTGAATTTCCTCTTCCTATTTTTCCCATAACAACAACCCTATGAGGTGTATTGGTCTGAGGTTGTGACTGGCCTAAAGTTACCCAGCTGGCTTTCATGCCTGTTGTTAGTTGCGAAGTTGTGTCCGACCCATCGCGACCCCATGGACAACGTTCCTCCAGGCCTTCCTGTCCTCTATCATCTTCTGGAGTCCATTTAAGCTCACGCCTACTGCTTCAGTGACTCCATCCAGCCACCTCATTTTCTGTCATCCCCTTCTTCTATTGCCCTCAATCTTTCCCAGCATTAGGCTCTTCTCCAGTGAGTCCTTCCTTCTCATTAGGTGGCCCAAGTACTTGAGTTTCAACTTCAGGATCTGGCCTTCTAAAGAGCAGTCAGCGTCTTTTAATTTCTTGGCTGCAGTCCCCATCTGCGGTGAACTTGGAGCCCAGGAAGATAAAATTTGTCACTACCTCCATTTCTTCCCGATCTATTTGTCAGGAATTGAGAGGGTGGATCCCATGATCTTGGTTTTCTTAATGTTGAGTTTCAAGCCAACTTTTGCACTCTCCTTCTTCACCCGCATCAAGAGGCTCTTTAGTTCCTCTTCACTTTCTGCCATTAGAGTGGTATCATCTGCATATTTTAGGTTGTTGATATTTCTCCCGGCAATCTTAATTCCAACTTTTGATTCATCTAGCCCTGCCTTTCTCATGATGTGCTCTGCATATAAGTTAAATAAGCAGGGCGACAGAATACAGCCTTGCCGGACTCCTTTCCCAATTTTGAACCAATCAGTGGTTCCGTGTTCAGTTCTCACTGTTGCTTCTTGACCTGCATATAGGTTTCTCAAGAGACAAATAAGATGGTCTGGTACTCCCATCTCTTTAAGAACTTGCCACAATAACTCACAATCTCTTGGTTTCCAGACTGATGCCTTAACCACTAGACCAAACTGGCTTAATTTTTAATTTTTAATTAATTTTTAGTTAAACATTTTAACATTTAAAATTAAGTTTAAATGTCAGACCTACCCAATCCAATCCCTTAGGAAAGAAAAGCCTTCAACTCCATTTGATGGTTGCAGTAAAATCAAGCCAGCTCTGAAGTCCATGCTCACTGGATAAAAAAATAAGGTGTAGATTTGCCCCCCAGCCCATCCCCCCCGTGACCAGTCCATTTCCAGCTAACCGCAGCTCGCCAACATGTTTTGAGAACTCTGAGATGTTGGGGGGTAATCCGCATACTTCTCAGGTGCCTGGTCATGGGATGCTGGTACAAACAGGATCCGGCTGTTCTGGTCCTTCTCATCTGTCATTCTCCCCTTTCCGAGTTCCTATCATGTACATACAAAGCTTTATTGTCTTTTCATCTTTCCCTCTTTATTCCTTCTCCCCTTCTTCTTTTTTATGGCAGGATGCCTATGAGCCCCCCCCCCCAAAACCGAGCTAGGCAAATCTGCCCCTCTTGACAGAGACATTAGTCCTGCAAAACAAAAAAGAGAAGGGAGGGAGAGATACACAAAATTTTCCAATTAGTAAACAGTTCAGTGCAGCTTATCTGGATGTTTTTAAGCAGTTTGGGGGTGTTAATATGTTGGGAATTGACCCATTCAGTTACTGAGAGATGAAAGTCTTTCCAGGCTACCAAATACTGGGTTTCCCCCTGATATATGCAAGAGTCCAAAATGTCTTTGACTTCAAAGTGCTGCTCTCCCTCAATCATAATGGGGTCGGGAGATGGTTGTGATTCAGGATGCAGGTGGCTATTTCTGGACCATATTCTTGCATGTATGTCCAAACTTGTGCTAGGAAGAACCCTAATTGCCTGGGGTCTCTGTTGAAGTTTACTCCCAAGGCTGGTGCTTGTGTCCTCTCAGCCATGCTGGTGCTGCTCCTACAGCCAGTGCAGGCTGGCTGCGGGGCCAGGCGCTGGGGCAGTTGCAGTTGCCAAGGGGCAGTTGCCACTGCTGCTGCCATTGCGGTGGTAGAGGTAGTTGCCCCCTCATTTACCATGGCTGGAGCTGGTTGGTCAGTGGGTTGTGCACCCAGGCTAAAGCTTCTTGAGCTTTGAGACTACCAAAAGCCCCCATCAGAAAGTTTATGGCTTGCTCCAGCATCCAGTCATCTTGCTCCGGCTCGCTTGTACTCAATTCTTCCTCTAGTTCCTCCAGCTCCACTTGGGTCTCTCGCTGGCAGCTGCCTCGGCCTCCATTGGTGAATATCACTCCCATGGGTTTCTCTTCCCATTTTTCCTTCTTTCTGACCCTGAAGGACCATAGGGGTCTTGGTGGGTTGTCCTCTCCCAGCCATCCAGGTCCTTTTACTAAAAGTGATGGTTGCAGTAAAGTCAAGCCAGTTCTGAAATCCACGCTCACTGGGTACAAAAATAAGGTGTAGGTTTGCCCCCCAGCCCATTCCCTTCCATTTCCAGCCAACCAGAACTTGCCAATATGTTTTGAGTACTCTGAGATGTTTGGGGGTAATCCACATACTTCTCAGGGTGCCTGGCCATGGGATGCTGGTACAAACAGGATCTGGCTGCTCTGGTCCTTCTCACCTATCATCCCCCCCCTCCCAATTTGCTCTCATGTATACACAAAGCTTTATTGCCTTTTCATCTTTTCTTCTTTCTTCCTTCTCCCCCTTCTTCTTTTTTATGGCAGGATGCCTGTGAGCCCCCCCTCAAGCTGAGTCAGATATATCTGACATTAAAATTAGTTTAGAAGAAAAATGGGAGATGTCATCAAATTTTGGTGGGGAAAGCCGTTTTGTATAGAGTGAGTTATGTTACAAAAATAAGGAGCGATGTTAGTGTAGATTGACTTAAGAAAACTAGAATGAGTTCCTGAGGAAATATAATGTTTATCTTCTGGGAAAGGCTCTTCTCTTCATTGAATATGACAAAATTGAATTGTACAAAGTATTATGAAAGTGATAATATATTTTTCTTAGCAGTACTGTTCCATCTATTGTTTGTATATTTTAGGTACTTGATGAAAGAGCCAGTGTTCAATGACGACCTGCCAAGCCGTATCCTGTGTGGATATGTGAGCGTGAAGCCACTTGTCCGGCAGTTCACAGAAACCTCAGCCATATTTGAAGATGGGACAATGGTGGAGAATGTAGACATTGTCATCTTTGCAACAGGCTATAGCATTGCATTCCCTTTCCTGGACAAGTCAGTCCTTGAGATAGAGGATAATCGTGTCTCACTGTATAAGCATGTCTTCCTTCCTCATCTGGAGAAGCCAACCTTGGCTGTTATTGGTCTCATCCAGCCTCTTGGGCCTATTATGCCCACTTCAGAATTGCAGGCACGCTGGGCTACAAGAGTCTTCAAGGGTAAGATTATAAAGAAGATGAATATTTTATATAACGTGATGCCAATAGGGGGAATCATGACCTGCAGAGTAACATGCTGACTTAAGAAACTTGAAATCTAAAATTTGACACTTGATAATAATAAAAGGAAATGAAGAACACTACACTTACTCAAGGTACAGGTAGCCCTCAAATTACAACCATTTGTTTAATGACAGTTCAAAGTTACAATGGCCTTGGTAAAAGTGACATATAACTTCTACCGTTACTCACACTTAAGACCATTTACACTATCCTTGTAGTCATAAGATTGCAATTCAGGCATTGGCAGCTGGCTCACAATTTAAGAACTGGTAAGATGAAGTGATATTAAAATGCTCTCTCTAAGAATGAAATATAATTTTTATATATTAGTTACAAAAATTATAAAAAAAATAGATGACAATGGTAATGATTATAAAAACAACAGCAACCACATCCAGGATTTTTACATTACTGGGAAGAAAAATAGGATTCTTTTTGGAGGTCAAGTGTGGGTTATAAACCACTTAAGCTTGTGCATGTGTATACCTTGTGTAAAACTGGAATGGACTGCACTGAGATAACTATCCTGCTGTAATGTCTTCTCAGAGGCATAAGTGGTTTGTTCAGATTCAATTTTTTTTTCCCCCTAGGGTTAAGCCTCCTGCCTTCAGAGCGTGCCATGATGGCTGATACCATTAAAAGAAATGAAAAAAGGATTAAGTGGTAAGAGATTCTCCTAGGCATTGGCATATATAGAGAGGGTAAGGGGTAGCAAGGAATGAAACCTGTGTTGTAATGGTTAAAGTGCAAGTATTGTCCATTATATATTTGCATGCAATATCATCATGCAAGTAGAAAAGAACAGAAGCTGTCTTGTGACATTGCAACACACATTTTGACATTTGGGCATCAACATGGTTAGGACTGGATCTTCCTTATTTTGAAGATACTTCTCCATCTTATAAAGCTTCCCACAAATTTGATGGGACTAAACATGAAGATATGTTATTAATCTCTGCTACGGATCGGTGGGCAATATTTTTTTAAATAGTTAACTTGAGAAAAATATCAGAAAACATGCTTTGGCATGGGTTTATAACAATAGAATAGAATAGAATAGAATAGAATAGAATAGAATAACAGAGTTGGAAGGGACCTTGGAGATCTTCTAGTCCAACCCCCTGCTTAGGCAGGAAACCCTATACCATTTCAGACAAATGGCTGTCTAATCTCTTCTTAAAAACTTCCAGTGTTGAAGCAGTAACAACTTCTAGAGGCAAGTTGTTCCACTGATTAATTGTTCTAACTATCAGGAAATTTCTCCTTAGTACTAGGTTGCTTCTCTCTTTGATTAGTTTCCATCCATTGATTCTTGTCCTGCCCTCAGGTGCTTTGGAAAATAGCTTGACTCCCTCTTCCTTGTGGTAATCCCTCAGATATTGGAACATACAATCATGTCCCCCCTCATCCTTCTCTTCATTAAACTAGACATACCCAATTCCAGCAACCATTATTTATATGTTTTCACCTCCAGTCCCCTGATCATCTTTGTTGCTCTTCTCTGTACTCTTTCTAGAGCAGGAGTGTCAAACTGCCAGCCCGCTGGCCGGATGCGTCATGCCAAAACCGCGCCCACCCAATTGCTGGCAATGGAAAAAAAGTCACGATACATCATGACACGTCACATGACGTTGCAAGTTTGACACCCCTATACTAGAGTCTCAACATTTTTTTTACATCATGGTGACCAAAACTGGATGCAGTATTCCAAGTATGGCCTTACCAAGGCATTATAAAGTGGTATTAATCCCTCACGTGATCTTGATTCTATCCCTCTGTTAATGCAGCCTAGAACTGTGTTGCCTTTTTTGGCAGCTGCAGCACACTGCTGGCTCATATTTAAGTGATTGTCCACTAGGACTCCGAGATCCCTCTCACAGGTATTGAGTGAGCTACCACCTGCACTGTACCTGTGCATTTGGTTTTTCTTGCCTAAATGTAGAACCTTACTTTTTTCACCATTATATTTCATTTTGTTAGATAGCGCCCAATGTTCAGATCTGTCAACATCCTTCTGTATCTTAAGCCTATCTTCTGGAGTGTTGGCTATTCCTGCCAGCTTGGTGTCATCTGCAAATTTGATGAATTCCCCATCTATCCCCTCATCCAAATCATTGATGAAGATATTGAAGAGTACTGGGCCTGAAACAGAGCCTTGGGATATCCCACTGCATACTTCCTCCATGTAGATGCCGTTCCATTGAGGACCACAGGTTGAGTGCGGTTGGTCAGCCAGTTATGAATCCATCTGGTGATGCTGCTGTCTAACCCATATTTTTCTATTTTATCTACTAGTAGGTTGTGGTCTACTTTATCAAATGGTAGATACTTTATCTACTTACTGAAGTCCAAGTAAATTATATCCACAACATTCCTCTGGTCCATTAATTTTGTCACCTTGTCAAAAAAATGCAATAAGATTTGTCTGGCATGATCTCTTTTTAACAAACCCATGTTGTCTTTTGGTTATGACTTTGTTTGCCTCTAGGTGTTCACTGATTAGTTGCTTGGTTATCTTTTCCAGACTCTTCCCAGATATTGAGGTCAGACTGATAGGTCTGTAATTTCTTGGATCCATTTTTTTCCTTTTTTGAAGATGGGAACTACATCATCTCTTTTCCAATCCTCTGGTAGTTCCCCGGTGCTCCAGGATCTTTGAAAAATATAGTTCAGTGGTTCTGAGAGCACGTCTGCCAGTTCCTTTGGAACCTTGGGTTGTAATCCATCTGGTCCTGGTGATTTGAACTCATCTAGGGTGGACAGGCGTTCACTTACCATCTTCTTGCCTATCTTAACTTGTGTTTCTAATCTGTTTTTACGGTACTGTTTTTGATAGGTTGGACTGTTTTTTCCCTTTATCTAAAGACAGATGCAAAAAATGAGTTAAGTAGTTCTGCTTTCTCCCTGTTGCTTGTCACCTTCTTGCCACTTTCTCCTACTAATGGACCAATCGTTTCCTTGACTTTTTTCTTGTTTTTTACATGTTGAAAGAAGCTTTTTTGTTATTTTTGACTTTTGTCTCAAGCCTTAGTTCATTTTGAATCTTATCTTTCCTCACTTCATCTTTGCAGGCTTGGGCTATTTGCCCCTCTTTCCACTTTTTATAGTTGTCCTTTTTGTCTTTCAACTTATCAGAGAGTTCTTTATGCAGCCATGCTGGTTTCTTTTGAGAGCTGTTATTTTTCTTCTCCGTTGGTATTGTTCTAGACTGGGCTTTTATAATCTCACTTTTCAAAATTTCCAAAGTTTCTTGAGTTGTTTTCCCCTTGAGGATTCTCATCCATGGAATCCTTCCCAAGCTCTCTCTAAGTTTATTGAAATTAGCTCTCTAATTTGCTCACCATGAAATAACTAAGAATGTTTTCATATTAGTAATGAAAAACCAAATATCAGTGATTAGTGATTAGTGAGGGGGCTGGATAGCAACATCAGTAGTAGTATTATTTGTTTTTCTTGTTTCTAACTTTATCATTTAGAATTTTGTGTGGTGACTATTTCTGTTCAGACATAAAATGCTGCAGGGAAGAAAGAAAATGCAAAATGTAGAACTGAAGGTTTTTACTTTTTAAAATATAAATAATCCAATCAAGTGCTCAAAACATGGCATTTCAACAACACTACGTTTAATAACATTTCCCAACATTTTAATTCACTTCATGCAATGGAGTGAGTGGGAGGGATAGAATTGACAATCTGCTATTAGAAAGGGAATAATTATTTCCATCACAAAATTGTAACTCCTCTCAACTACTATCTCTTTATTTTCCCCACCTACAAAGGTTTGGCACCAGCCACAGTCAGTCAATTCAAACCGATTTCATTGATTACCTGGACGAGCTTGCTGCAGCCTTGGGATCAAAGCCAGATCTATTCTCACTGCTGTTGTGGGATCCCATACTAGCTTGGGCCATGTTTTTTGGGCCCTGCAACCCTTTCCAATTCCGTCTGAAAGGGCCAGGCAAGTGGAATGGAGCTAGAGATGCCATCCTCACCCAGAGGGAGCGGATTATTAAACCCACGAAAACACGAATTGTGAGCAGCTCTTCAAACCACACTCTGTTCTCCCTGCTCACAGCCATTGGTCTCCTTGGTATCTTGGCTGCATTTTTCCTTTTCCTTGTTCAGCATTGATCTCCACCCTAAAACACATTAGTGACAACTGCTTATGTCCAAACCATGCTTTTTATTCCTCTAATGATCACCTTAGGCTTACCATCTACACCTTAGTTTCTGTATGCTCACAAACATAAAAGAGGATCTTATGAGAAACTATGAATTATAAATGAGGAAAAGATATGGAAAATGAGGAGGGGGAAATGCAAGAAAGAAAAAGGCATTTTTTTTAAAGAAAGGGAACTGAACGTGCAAAATGCAGCTTTAAGGTGCTCCTACAACATGCCTATTTTTTTATTCCTTTTAACATTAGAAAACAGTGTGAATTGCAATTCATTCTTGAATTTTAAAAAAGGAGCAAATTTGGATTTCATACTTGAATCATAAAATGCTATCCAGAACATGTCTATCAATGTATAAAGGCAGAAATATATATTCCATGAAATGCTGTGATATTCCTCTACGGGGCCTTGCTCAAGGAGCTTAGCTTTTATACAAAAACTGTCATCATGGTTGGTGTAGTACAGGGATGTCAAACTCAATTTCACTGAGGGCTGCATCAGCATTACGGTTGCCCTCAGGGGGCCAGGTGGGTGTGGCCAGGGTGGGTGCGGCCTACTGGGTGGGCGTGGATGGAGTGGGTGTGGCCTACTGGGTGGGCATGGCCAGCTCTACATCATTCGCGTCAAGGGTGCCTGTGGGAGCCTGGGCAGGAGTGGAACAGATCTGAGGGTCTCTGGCAGAAGGGGGTGGGACCAGGGCAAGTGCCAAGGCATGGTCCATTGGAGGAGCCTCACTGTTCCTCTCAGGCCATGCAGGGGGGGTGAATGGTGGTCCAGGCTGCTGGGAGCCCTGGACAGCAGAGGTCAAATGCCCAGCCTGGCTCTCAAGCACCCACGGCACCAAGCCCAGCCCCACTTCCCCAAGGGAGCGCCCAGCTGCACTTACCTCCTCCTCAAGGCTGTTGCTGCTATGCTTGCTCTCCTTACCAAGGTTGCTCATGATGGGTATGAGGGTAAAATCATAGGGAGGCCCGTTCCCTCTCCATGGGAGGAGACCCGACTTTGTATCCAAAGCTTCCTTAGCAATAGGATGGGAGACCCCCAGGATAGGCCAGGAGGAGGGGCAAGGGGATGGTGAAAGGGCAGCAGGGCAGGAGTAAGACAGGACTTCCCTCAGATCCTCCCTCTCCTTCTTTCCTTCTTTCCTTCCTTCCTTCCTTCCTTCCTAAGTATAGAGTGGTGGGAAAATATTTGAGATGAGGGAGGGAGAAAAACAGGCAAAAAACACAGCTGGGGAAGTGTCACCCTTCGTGAGGAATGAAGAAATGCACCATCGCCTGGAAGTGGCCAGCACATGGCCCTCACCTACTTCACATATCTGGCTTGTTGGGCTCTGGGGGAGGGGATGCCATGAGCAGCGTGAGAGTCAACATTACCTGCGCAATGCCGCCCAGCCCCCAGCCTGCCCGGTTTCGGCAGGCAGCGGGGCGCTTTCCTTACAGTGCCAAGAGGCTGAACTGGGCAGCGCAAATCTAAAAAGAAGCATGATGCCACCCAGCCCCCAGCCTGCCCGGTTTCGGCAGGCAGCGGGGCACTTTCCTTACAGTGCCAAGAGGCTGAACTGGGCAGCGCAAATCTAAAAAGAAGCATGATGCCACCCAGCCCCCAGCCTGCCTGGTTTTGGCAGGCAGTGGGGCGCTCTCACAGCACCAAGAGGTTGAGCCGGGTGGTGCGAAGCTCGCCAGCTTTGCACCTTGCTGCCTGCTGAAACTGGGCAGGCTGGGGGTTAGGCAGCATTACACTTCTCATCAGATTCGCGCCACCTGGCTCAGCTCTTGGCGCTGTGAGAAGAATGCCCTGCTGCCTGCTGAAACCGGGCAGGCTGGGAGCTGGGCAGCCTTGCGTTTCTTTTTGGATTTGCGCCGCCCAGCTCAGCCTCTCGGCGCTGTGAGGAGAGTGCCCCACTGCCTGCTGAAACCCCTCCCCCAGAGCCCATCAAGCCAGATATGTGAAGTAGGCGAGGGCCATTTGCTGGCCACTTCCAGGCGATGGTGCATTTCTTCATTCCTCACAAAGGGTGACACATCCCCAGCATTCACCCAGGGGGTGGGGCTGACGCGGCAGGGGCTGGTTCCTCACTGTTTCCAGACAGCTTGTGGAGCTAAGACTGAATGCGTTTCAGCATACATGGCCACCACAAAATTGTACATTGGCTCCCGACCGGCCTGGGCCAGGGCCAAGGCAGTGAGGGCCGTTCCCTCACTGTTTCCAGGAGGGCTTTGCGGGCCACATGAAACCACTTCGCGGGCCTCATCCAGGTCCCAGGCCTTGTGTTTGACATGCCTGGTGTAGTATAAAGTGTGAATTTATGCAAATTCACCTAATCTGTCTTTATACAATAAACTATGGACCAATAAATAAACAGTTTTTACTTCTTAGCTGACAGAGTACAATATGTAGTGGGAATGAAAAATTTAAAGAGGATGATTTTTCAATCGCCTTTACTCAGAGAATTTTCAGATGGTTGTGCGGATCAAAATGACATTCATATGCACCCATCAGATGACACTGTAGCTTTAAGCTGATGAATACAAGGAAATCCTGTTTTCCTGTGTTTTTCCATCAATTGTATTACAGTATATAGATTTTGTTTCCTTGTTCTTAAGAGGTAGTCTCTGTCCTACTAGGAGTGTCATAGCTGGCCCGCCTCCCAGCCCAAATTCTCCCATTATAGCAATATTGACTGGACTGGACGAACAAACCAAATATCAGGAATCTTAACATGACAACATCAATAATTTTAAGGAGGCTGAGATCAGACATTATAGCGAGTAAAAACATGGATTCATCATATATTATTTCCTCTTTAGTTTCTCTGAAGAGCTATTACTACTCAGCATGCAAATGACAAGCTGACAATTCCCTGGCACAGCTATTGCTAAAAAGAATTAGTACTTATTGGCTGAAAGTTCACTACAGATAAACATGGTCCAACCTGTCTCTCAATTTCCAAAAAGATCTGAAATAGTCCAGAACACCCCAGAATAGTTTTAAATATTTACATTTAATTTAATTTAATTTAATCCAGAAATTCTAGCAAGAGTGCAGAGAAGAGCAACAATGATGATTAGGGAGCTGGAGACTAAAACATATGATGAACAGCCCTTCCATGCCGGAACTGGGTATGTCTAGTCTAATGAAAAGAAGGACTAGAGGTGACATGATAGCAGTGTTCCAATATTTGAGAGACTGTCACAGAGAAGGAGTCAACCTATTCTCCAGAGCACCAGATGACAGGACAAGAAGTAACATATAGAAACCTATCAAGGAAAGATCCAACCTAGAAATAAGGAGAAATTTCCTGACAATGAGAACAATTAATCAGTGGTACGGCTTGCCTCCAGTGATTGTGAATGCTCCATCATTGGAGGTTTTTAAAAAGAGATTGGACAGCCATTTGTCCGGAATGGTATAGGGCAGGCATGTCAAACTGCCGGCCCATGGGCTAGATGCGTCATGACAAAACTGTGCTCACCCCATTGCCAGCAATGGGGGAAAAGTCGGGATACGTCGCACAACGTCACGTGACGTCACGAGTTTGACATGCCTGGTATAGGGTCTCCTACTTAAGCAGGGGGTTGGACTAGAAGACCTCCATGGTCCCTTCCATCTCTGTTATTCTGTATTGTGCAGAAAAGCCTTGCCCTCATGAAATTCTTTCAATCTGAAACTATTCAGGATTGCTTTATCTGTTAAAAGAAAATCCTCAAAACAAAGTTCTATGCAACTATACAAAAAGTATACAGTTTACTCCAAAATTTCAAAAACATATCAAATGGTGTGACTGTATTTTTTGTGTGTGTGCTTCCTGAGAGGAAAAGAACATAGGAATTGCATCTGGATTTATGTTTCAGATGTACAAAGTGATATTCTGAAATTTCTCATTAAACATCATTGACTGGATGGTAGATGTCTATTCAACATCTGTCTCTGAAGGGTAATTTGCTGATTGACTGGTGGTTCTTGGTGACTCAGTAGACTCATAAGCATGTAAATGTGTCTATGCCCACAGCATATGCTATCTTAATGGTAGAGGTGTGTACAAAATAGGAAATGTATTTTGTTTCAAGGTCAGAACAAAGTATGCTACCCAGAAACATTCTGCTGAAATGCTCTGATTTGGCTGTCTTCTGGTGGAATTAAAATGATATGGGAGTTCTTCTAAACAAAGTATTCCAGCCACATTTGGAGAGGGGGAATGAAATTTGGCTTAATTTGTCTTTCATCCAGGGCCCATAAGAGTAGGTGAGATGACAGTCCATGTTGACTCTTACTAGTTAGCCAACTTGTAGACAGATTTATAAAAGGAATAATTTTGAAAAGGTTGACAGTGCATATAGGCAAAAATAACCCAGACATTTCTAATTGACATGACACTGGTGGCCAGCATTTAAGACAAAAAGCTAATTCTTTCATCAGTATTCTTCAATTGGCTATAAGTTAGATTCTCCCAAACTGAATATACTCTCAAGCTTGTAGACTTAATTGCATTTCTATTGTTTTTATAGAGACATTTTAAATGCGTTCAGATTTAACAGAAAGTTAAGCAGAATGACTGCTGCTTAGCTGCATTTGTAAGTGTTAACATTACGAAAAACACAAGAAAATATTGCTACCTCTCACCCCATTACTATTTTGCCAGACTCTCAATAAAAATCAGCATTTAAATATACGGTCCAGCAGCTGTTCAGTAAAACATAAAATGAAGTGCTAGCAACCAAACCAACTGGTATAATAATTTAGTTTCTTAATACATCCTTAAGTTAATATTAACAAGATAGAGATTTAAGCCAACATTCAGCCTTTTTCCTTCCCACTTATCAGTTATCCATTACACCACATTCTTTTAATACTAAAATACAAAAGTAGCACCTTTGAACAAAATTGGGCTGGTACTGTGGAGTTGTCTAGAGGTGGACAAGTAGATATATCACTAATTGCACCACAGCAATCTAATTGTAGGTCCTTCTAATTGTAGAATTCTTACAAATGTCA